ACAAAAGACTGCATGCGTACTTTTGCGAATATCGAAACCTCCAACCCGATGATCAGTTTCAACTTCAAGGTGTCGTTGATTTTACTGGCAGCTGAAATTCTTAGGAACTATTTTCGACCAAAAACTGGACTTCCTTTCGCATGTCCTATAGTTGAGGAAGAAATACTTTAAAACACTTAATATTTTAGAAGTCATAGCGAATATTTTCTGAGGCGCAGATCGTTGTTTATTACTTTGTTATTTCTTTGCATTTACAGAGTACTTGTCCGCTCAAGACTGGATTATAGCTCAGTGGCTTGTGGTTCAACACGTTATGGAGTTATCACATCTAACAATGTATGATGCTAGACGAAACTGTTCCGAGAAATGAGCAGGGCCCACCAGCGGCCGAGCGATAAAGTCGCTGAATACTAGTAGTTCGGTCCCAGGTTCGAATCCCGCGAACGGGCTGGCTGCATGGGCGTTTTCGTGGTTTTCCCCATGTGTAACATGTGTACGAGCCAGTTTTCCTTAGAACGTCCTCCACGAAGGCATCCCTCCCCTTAGGCAAATAGCCCTAGTGCGCTTTGCCATAATTAAATAAATCAAACAGAGAAATGAGCTTACCGTAGCCTACTGCTGGGAGGGTTCCTAACTGAGGCATATTTCATTGACATCTGTATCCCGCCTAGCTACGTGTTTTTTTTTTTTTTTTTTTTTTTTTTTTTTTTAACTGAACTAAAAGCGTTTTATTTGTAGCGCTGTCCCTCATGCGATATCTCCAAACTTTTGATTTTCCTGTAAGTCAACCAATCAGATATCCCAAAAATAAAAATTCTGGGAAATGTTTCTTTCGACGAGCTTTCTAATAATCCGCAATATCCTTGCTGATTCACGTACACAAATAAAACATTTATTTGAGACGAGCAATTCCTGTCATTAAAGGCCAGCGACTTCTTTTCCATTAATCAGACACTCTCTGCTCACAGAAGCCATCTACATAAGAAATGCTCTACAGCGTTGTTAGGTTAGCTTGTAGATGTGATATCGGTTTTAGTGAAACCGGGCCTTATTCATCTCCAGATTCTGTAGATATGCTTCGAAACGTTTAGAGCGTCTCCAGTTCGGAGTATGTATGTTGACTCTTGCAAACCATCAATCACTTCAGATAAGGCGAAATCATTAGCCTTTTTGCCATTATTTCCATGTATTATCACTACTTGACCATCCTAATGAAATCGTTTTGTTTGATGACTTGCACAACCTCTTGGTTGAAGTTCGACCTTTTTGTGTGCGTTATTTCTCTTTAAGGGTTCGTTTACTTATATTACATTATCAGGTTCAGTGTTCCGCCTTACTTGCTTGGGGAACATTCCAGAACCTGACTCGGAACAGGGAGCTTACTAAAGCTATGTTCAATAAATGTAGGAAGTAGACAAGATACACAGGAAGGGTATACGAAACCCTTTATTTTTCACTCTTTACAATAATTTCCGTGCTTCGGAATACAGAGACCAACTACTTGTGGTGTGAACGTAAGAATATAAAAATATTAACTAAACTCTAACTTAACTTTGGAATAATAAACAAGGGCCTACGTGGAAGATTGGCCGTATATTAACAGGAAGCCGTATGTAGTACAGAGAACTGTTAACACTACAATACGTTTAAAATTATCAAGAGGATTAAACCTCTGGCCTGGAAGGCAACCAGCAACCGAGTAAAACTGCTAAGGCAAGCGGCCTGCTTCGATTAACTCCTTCCATTCTGTCGCTTGGCAAAAAGCCACAACTTGAGTACTTGGCGTTCGCCAACAAATTTGCATAAATAAGTTAAAGCTTTTAATTCTGGCCGGAAGTAGAAAATAAGAAGTGATAGTAAAGATTTAAAATAAAATAAACGTTAGTAAAACTTAAGATCCTTACAACATGACCGTTGTGAATACCCATGCAGTAAAGCATTTCGAAAGCCCACTTTGGGAAAATGCGCAAATTCGGCTTCTTAACATTTTCCAAAAATTTTGACGAAAGAGATAATAACGAGTTAGAAGACAGGCGACTTATTCTTGAGGAGAGACATAACTACACCAGTTATATTCCCGTATTTACAAATTGGTTATGTTGGTGCATCATAGGCAACCGCATGGAGGCCAGACTATTACAGAATTAACTGCCATATATAATATGCTTTCATTCAAATATAAACTCTACAAGTCAAGTTTCTAATACACCAGTGTTTGTGAAAAATGCTAATACCATGAAGGAATTGTCGGAAATGAATGAAATTTATTCTACGTGTTACCAGCAGCGGTACAAATAAACGAACAAATTTACAAGACAGAAAAAAAAAAAAAAAAAAGTTGGAAATCTGTACTTTGTGTGTTTGCCTCTCTGGGCGATGAGAGACCGTTAACGCCGTCGCATTGAATCGTACATGTTCTGAATGTAATCCTGGGGAATGGCATTCCGTATGGCTTCGACTTGATGCCAAAGTTCAGTCTTAGTGTGTGCCCCACAAGCTGAACGAGTGAGTCTCCGACTGAACAAAACCGAGACATGCTCAATGGGCGAAATATCCGAGAATAAGCAGGCTATGGTAGCCTAAAGAAGACTTGGGTAGGCTGAGAAACATCTACACGGGCATTATCCTGCTGAAATACTGCGCCCGCAGTGCGTCAAAAAATGGGAAAGACCTCTGGCTCCACAACTTCTCTTATATAGCGATCACTGTTGAGTTTGACTACAATCTGCACCAGATGGGATCGATAATTATACCCAATGGCTCCCCACACCATGATGGCAGGCGTTTGTGCGGTATGACTCTGGATAACATACTGTGGGAGCAGATGTGTCCCTCTGTAACGTCTAACACGTATTCTTCCATCACTCAACTCCAGATTGTAGCGAGATTCATCGGAGGAATGAACTTGTTGCCACAGGGCCCGACACATACTGTAGTGCCATACCCATTGAAGTCGGAGGTGTCTGTTATTCAACGACAGGAGAATCCTGCGTAGGAACCATTGCACGCGGTTCATGTTGCAGCAGACGACGATGAACCGATGAACCAACACAACGCCTGTGAAGGCGTGCTCCAGTGTTGTGGTAACTCACGAGAGGACGCTGTACGATCCGTCACAGCCATGTGGGTGAGTTGTCTTTCGTATTGTGCCGTTGTTCTGTTGCTTGTCCCACCGCAGGATTTCGTGTTGTTTGGTTCTCCTCTGTCCATTTCTTCCGAACACTCACTGTTGTGGCATTACGCTGCTTGCGGGCTGCGATTGCTCGATCGTTCATCGCAGACAGAGGAAAATAAACAGATTTCAACGCAACTTTACAGTTCTTTATATACATGGAACAAGAGATCGGTTCTACATCTACGTATGCGCAATCGCTTAATAATTCTAATTTGCATGTCTTACCTCACTTCACATTTCCTGTAAGTTTGCTTCAATTTGCTTAACTTCTTGATGGTGTCGCAATTTGCACAAACATTAGCTTTTATATTAATTCGTTTAATGTACTAAAAGCATTATAAACGTTTTCTGATACCCAGAATCCTGTGTTAGTTGACATTATAAGTCTAAAAATGGACAAGAAGGCTTGCAAGATCCTTTATTGCTGAGTTCCGGAACGTGTAGGGATAAAAAGTTAGGAGTTGTAGACATTACCCCAACGTCTTCTGTCCTTTTTCCACCAGCTCGTCCCTCTTAATTATAATAACAAGGTCATCAAGCAAAATAACATGCAGAAATGGCAGTAACTATGGAATTGTCAACTTCTTAAGTTAAGAAGGATAAAACCAAAAGTCGAGTATTGAGAGGCTAGTGGAAATTGGAGGGGGGGGGTCTTTTTTCCTCACCTTAGAATCGTTTAGTCTCGAGTTACTCGTTAAAAGCTGAAAGAGAACTTGTTTTCTGGAGTTGTAACTTCTGTCTGCGTGTCACATTTTAGTTGAAAGGTCCAACTTTTGACAGACTTCGACCAAATGTTTTGTTGACTGTCGCAAGACTGTTGGCCATTTAACTGGGAAAAAGGCCAATTTTAATCTGCTTAATTCTTAACAATGTGTTTTATTACTTTATTATATGTGCTAATAATGTGCATATTCACCAGATGTTTGACGTATTGTGGAATTTAAGGTTATGCTCCATTAATTCCACTATCTATCCATTCTCACGGTGAGCTTTATTACTTTAAAATGCATATATAGAGTGTGATCAAAATACACGTTTCGAATGTTTAGTTAAAATGTATTAACATAATAAAATATATTCCATTAATCTCCCTCATGAAGGCTCCACAAATATCCTATTGGTCTTTATATTTTCTGAAGTAGTTCTAAAAATCCTCTGTTGGAGATGTGGCTGCTTTAATGTCCATAATTAATTTTAGTATTTCATATGTTTCTTAAGCAGTGTTTTGCAGTTTGTAACAAAATGTCACGTTAGTATACAATTATTCCTGATTTTTAATTTACGACTTACTTTAAAATTCGCTTTCTGTCAATCATAGCTCATAATTTACTGATTGCCTAAACAAGTTGTAACTTGTTACACATTTTTATTAAAATCTGATCTTTGGCTTTTTATGCTGAAGATAGCACTCAGAATAATCGTAATATTTTATCACACCCTTTTCATGCTTTTTCATTTCCTTTCCATTCGAGTATGACAGTCACGAAATCATTTCCTTAACATTGCGATTTCCAAACATACATATGACTTTTATCAGAACAAAATGCGTACGTAGTAAATTGGACTTATAAATTAGTATGAAAATAACAAATAGCTCACTGAGTTCATTTCCTTAATTGACGTATTTTCCTAGGAAAGAAAACTGAAAGCTAACTGTTGCATAGGAGAGTATAGGAACTGTCAGAATGAAAATCCTAGTTGGTTTTCGTAATATAAGATGCATACACAAAAGTTGAAAGCTTAATCAGCAACAATTCATGTGCATGTAAAATTTCCTGTGCTAAAAAATTGTATGTTGCTTACATCTTTCCCAATTTGTTTTTAGCTGTAAAAAGAGTGGATCGGTTCCCTCTGGTATATGCTGAACAAGAGGTTCGCGCTTCCGGACGAAGATCTCGTCAGCCCGTTATCACTAGGGTGCTTGATTTGAACCTCCTGGATGACACTTATGCTGGAGTCACGAAGGTAAGTAATTGTAATGTGGAATTGGAATCCCAAATTCTAATGGGGAATTGGAATACTAAAAATACGATTTTCTTTCAAATTTGATTCTTTCTGCAGAAATTTGAACGTTTGTAAGAATTCCAGTCTACTCATAAGAATAATAAAAAGAAATAAGAACTAAGCCTCAGTTTTTCCCCAAAAAAAATCTTGCAGTGAATGTATTAGCTGTGAAAGACTGAATGATTCTGCGTTGCAGCGGCAACTTGGCCACTTTTAGAAATTTCTAAATATTGCATTCCTAAGTAAATCTTTTCTAAATAGAGCATTTAGAAATAATTTCGAAAACTTCCTTTTGTATTAACCTTTCGGCTTCAGCGAGGCTAATCAACTCTTTCTTCCTATATAAGCGCGATATCTGTCAGTCGTAAATTTGTAATGCGAGGTGTGTTCGCTTGCGCCCACTGCGGTACGTAACTGGAATACGAGCTGAGCTCGCTGATGACCATCAAATGTTTAAAAATACTCTAAAGTGTATGTTCGTGATATGACTGATGGCAGAATTACTACAGGTTTTTTATTGTGTTCTCACAAAAGCGCCTTGAACAAATATAGTTTCTTGGGATACGACATATTCGAAAATTTGAGGAACTGTATTTGAGGGAGTGTATACAATGTGTAGTATGTATTAAACTCATTGTGATTCCTCTTTCGAATAATGGCCCTATGCGATATGAAGCGGGTTCTCCCAACTATGCCGTACGATTCCAGCATTGCATTTAATTAATTTAAACCAAGTATTTTGGTTTGGTCACGTGCGAATTGGTTGAACATCGTGTCATTATTATGTTCTGTTAAGTCTTGCCAGATGTTAAACGAAAATTTATGAGGGACTGAAGCAAATGTATTGCAAAAATTATACCTCGTTCAAACGCTTTCCAATGATCGTAACTTATCTGTGCGTATCACTATGCAAATATAACTTATCTGCATATTATCCAAATACAAGCTGAGAAAAACCATTTTAATCATTCTACTGAGGCATTTAGCCCATCAGTAGCCAAATGGTTAAGAGCGCTGAACAGTGGTAATTCGACTAATTTCGGCACATCATGTGATGTTTGCTTATTTCGATCGACGAAGTCAATTATTTTCGTCCGTTAAATACACCGGCTTTGCATTTGTAAGAGACTTTGCATAACAGGTTTAATTTTGGGGAGATAGCTTATTTTGGCGCATAACTTGCGTGTAAGCATTTTGTTACTGTAGCTGAGGCCTTCTTATGAATGCAGATATAGTAACTATACAAAAAGCGCATTCAGGCGCTCTGTACCTATAAATTGTTTGAACGAAATTAATCCAAATATGCTCTCTGATAATAATAAACTAATAATAAATTATGCTACACGAATTTGTGTCCAAAGATTTAAGTGGATTCTCAGAATGTTTTTTATTTCTCAATTTCTCTAATTTTAATCATATATATATATCTGTTTTCTAATGATGTATATATTTAAAATAATTTATATATATGTAATTTTATTCAGTTTCTATTTTAAATTCTATATTTTAAAGTACCATTTACGTAATATGGCTTTTGCGCTGTAGTAACTTGCCGTAGCACTTACAGAAGTACGAAGGATGAGATATTTATTTCAGGGACCAAAGGATCCAATGAGGTTTTGCTTTTGACGAAGGAATAGATACACAATGTCAAAGACAAGATTCTATTAATGCAAAGAGCGGAAAAATCTGCAGCGAACATTTTCTATGCAGTGTTTCTGAAGATGATATGAAAAATCGCTTGTTTGGATAGCCACAAAAAGAAACTGTTGAAATGGAATGCTGTGCCGAAAGTAAATTATGACGATAATAAATCGGAATTGATGATGACAATAGTCAAATGTTCAAATTTTAATGATTTTGAACAAAACTCGCAAATGAAAATGTAGATATTTCTGAATGTCTCTAAGTTTAAGGATAAACAAGAATGCATTGATAATTTGAAAGAACAAAATAATATCCTTAAGAAATTGTATTAAAGTATTGAAAAATAGGGAAAAGAAAAATTTTAGAATGTTTGTTCAGTGACAAAGAAGGTGAACGACATCTAAAACAGAAATTGGTATCAGAAATTAAAATCTCAAATAGCGAAATTTGGGGGGGGGGGGCATAAATCAGAGAATTTGGAAAAACGTCTAAAGCCTTTTTTCTTATATAAAGACGCAGATTAATGCATTGTTGAAAAAGAAGGAAAAAATCAAGTGGACTAGTGAAGATATTTCACATTGCATTATAAGAGTCTGGTAACTTAAACTATTTTTTGGAAAAAGAAAAAAAATTAAAAAAAAAAAAACTGGAATATCTTTACCTAGTATTAGCAAATTAAAGAAATGGTGCCTAAATTTTAGTGTAGTTCAAGAATTCAAAGTAATGTTCTTACTCTAAAGAAGGAAAGAGGCGAATATTTGTATTCTGTAGAAAAAATATGCGTTTCTCAGTTTCGACGAAATGCATATAGATTGAAAACTATGACTCTAAACTGGACCAAGTTCTCGTTCTTTTCAAAATGTGCAATTGTTTTAATCAGAGGTTTAATTTCGCGCTCTGCCTCAAATTACTGAGAACCACGTTTTAGATAAGGATTTGTTTTAGAAGATGGAACTGTTTTAAATTTTGTTATTATTAAAGAGGTTTTAATAGAGATTGAGAAGAAATCAAATTATGTCACAAACTAAAATCGAATATTTAATGGTCAAGGGAAACGAGAGACAAAAAGTCGCTTCAGCGAAAACATTATTTTAAAAGAACTACCTGCAAAAGGTATACTCCACCTTCACAGGAAATCAAAAAGCATCTGACTTCTATGAGTTAATCGGTAATATCTTCGGTATTATGAATAGCACCAAAATAGTACCAACACGAATAACAAAGTACTTAAGCAAACTAATTTTGTTAAGTACATGTTACAGTTATTCTTATTGTATCCTTTGTAACTAATTATTGATTCGAATTTTTGTGCTAAATTAGCATTGCTAGCAGATAAAATGTAATAGTATAAAACATCAAAGTAATTGGCAAAAAGACTTGCTTCCTTTACTCACACTTTTGAAAAAATTAAATAACTGTATTAGGTACTCTGAGTAAAGCTATTTTGTCAAAATTAAGGTAACAATCTACATACTCGTACATTTATTAATTTTAATATAGATATAAGTATAAATTACAAAATTATTTAAAAAATTAATATATTGAATCGGAAGATAATTATAACAATGTAAAATTTACATTTAGGCAAAAAATCAAACGTAGGTTAGCAGAAATGTTGCCATATTATGTCATATATGTTTAAAACTATGTCAATGTAAAATTGTTTTTTGAGTAAATTTAAATAGCTGCTATTATATTTACTTAGAAGCAGTAAAAATTCCTCAGTTAACATGCAGATAAAAAATGATTAGAAATAAACGTTCATTAATAAAAAACCTGCAAATAAAAATTGAAAAAAACCCGGAACTTTATGTTAAAAGAGTAGCACATTTTATCTATTATTTTAAATTGAGTAAGTATTATTAAATTTTTTAATGGTGCAGTCTAAAATGCATAAAGCAGTAACATTGTCTCTTCCAAATTATAGCTATCTTTCACACACAGCTCATTTTAAACGCTGGTTCAAAATCGCTAATTTTTTCAAGCTGTGAATTGCATCTGCGCGGTCAGTGTCATCATGACTACGTCATCACTTCTCGCTTTCTGCTTCAGGGGGAAAAGCTCTATGAGCTAGCCCTTCTCTTCTAAGTCCTGAGAGATATCAGTCCATACTTAATTACCATAATGCATGTGAGTTTATATTCAGAAATTACTACATCTTAATTACCCACAAAGCAATTTGTGGTAAATGCCAGACTGTTATGTTCTTACGTTTGAATGCCTTCCCTCAAGCTTACTTAATTTGTTTTCTCCTATATCAAAACATGGAATGTTTGAAATTAAGTAAATGAAATTGAGAATAAAGAAACTTGTCTAAGAATAAAGTAGCTGAACGAACTGAACAAAATTCTCAAAACAAAATATTACGCAAAATGCAGGTATTATTGTTATTGAAGGCTGTAATTCCATGAAAAGTAAAAGTAAGTGTTTAAGAGCATGAATAAACGAACACAAGTTATTTCGTGGAATGTTTCCTGAATTCTAGAAACTGAGATTTAGCTGAATTCTTAGAACTTATAGACAACTCTATCGGTCAGAAACTAGTCGTAATATGTTTATGCAGCAGTCCCATGCAATATTGTTTATTCCAATTCAGTTGTTTGACTGATACAAGTGCATATTCGTAGCACCGTTTTTGAAAGCATAGAAGACTGCTCTAAACTTCAGAAATTATTCAACGTCTAAGGGGAGTAGTCTGTTCCTGCATTTGAGATAACCGTTACGGGTTGTTCGATTTGAGATCTTAACTGTACTATGAAGGGAGAAGAAGAAAAACATCGAAACAGTTATTTGAAGACGCCTTAAAAAATAATCTTTCTGTGCGATAAGTGTATAAAATTAGATGGGGATTATGTTGAAACTGCATTGTAATATTGATGAAAACTGACAAAATAAACAATTTATACCATAATTCCTAGAACTCTGGAAACATCCTTGTATCTTGTGTACGCATAGGATACGATTATTAAGATGTAACAAATAATGACATACTTTTATAATTATGCATGTAGTAAATGCGGCTAGAATAGCTAAATCAAAAGACTTATTTAACCGTATTCGTGACCTATTTAACCATTATTTATCAAGATCTTTTTTCCAGTATTTAACAGTGGAATCGGTTATATTATAGCATAAGCATAACTTGGTGACCTCGTTACACCATCAGATATAATATAAAGTATTTGGCTAAAAGATTTCTCAAGTTTTCAGCATTAGAATAAATTTGACTTGACAGAAAGGAAACCAGTAACAGTGAAATCCGTGATGTTATTTTTGACTTACTGAAGTGATGTCGTTTTTGGCAACCATGTTAG